CCTCCTTAATTCATGTAACTCTGCCTCTGACTCGGCCAAAACCCGCTACCGGGTGAATAGATACTTGCATCTGCACACGAGGTGCAGGGAGTAAAGTGAGTACTCCAACTCAGTGAAGTAATAAAGGTAAATAACAACTGAGCAGTAAGAAATCACGTAAAGCAAACCATCATGCTGTATAGAAGCAGGGTACAATCCTTTGAGAAAACAGTAAGGCTGTAAAATCTTTGGAAATATCTTGGCTCAGTTTAAAGCTCTTTTGAAAATGATCTTTTCAACAGTTACGAAAACGATTTCAAAACAGTTAGTGCTGATAAGCACAGAAAAATCCGCCCCTCGGGCACCAATACCACAGTATAACAGGTAGAAAGGCAAATAAACATGCAAGATGCGCACATAAAAGTTCGCCCCTCGGGCAATGTCTCAAAGCAGTACCATCCCCTCGGGCTCACTCTCAGAAACACTCTCAGCCCCTCGGGCTCTCTCTCTCAGACCACTCTCAGACAATATCATATAGTAACCGTTGCGGCGTGCAGCCCGATCCACATATCGCCGCGGCGTGCAGCCCGATCCATATCTCGCTGCGGCGTGCTGCCCGATCCATATTGGTACCCGCACTCACTGTGGGGGTGCAGACTCCGGAGGGGCTCCTATAGCCCAAGCGCAATATTGCTGTGGCGCGCAGCACGATCCACATATATATCTGCTGCGGCATGCAGCCCGATCCATATAAGTATTTGCTGCAGCGTGCAGCCCGATCCATGATATATATATATATATATATAACATCCTCACCGTTTGGGTTCTAAACCCCTCTCAGCCATTATAACCACAGCCTCTCGGGCACAATAATATAAGGTAGGGATCTCAGCTCACATATTTCTTTCATTTAGGATTAACATTTCAAAAATCGGTTCATATTGTTTTAAACAGTTAGAAACATGACTGAGGATATGGTTTTTAACAAGTAAAGTGAGGAAAATCAGTCATAATGCCCCCTAAGGGTTCTACAAGTCGGCACAAGGCCCCAAACATGGCAACTAGCCCAAATCATAATGATAATTATTAAATCTCAGTCAAAAATGCGGTGAAATCATCAATCGGGACGGACCAAGTCACAATCCCCAGTAATAATGGACCCCACGCTCATCATACAGCGTGTGTCTCACCTCAACATAGCACTATGTTGTGCACTCCGGGGCTTCAAACCCTCAAGACATCATTTACAATCACTACTCACCTCAAACCGGCCAAAGCTCTAGCTCGCTATGCCCTTGCCTCTCAAATCGGCCTCCTCGCGCGTCGAATCTGACCAAAACCAGAGCGAATACGTCACAATATGCTAAGGGAACAAAGCCCAAGCGAAAACAATCGAAAAATATCAAAAATCTCGAAATTAGCAAAACCCGAGCCCCGGGCCTACTTCTCGAAACTCAGAAATTTTTACATCATTAGACTCCTTATCTCCCCACGAGTTTATACATATCAAAAACACAAGAATCGGAGTTCAATTAGCCCTTCAAATCCTTAATTTATGCTCTCTTAAGTTCAAGCCCTAAACCACTATTTTTGTCCATTAATTCCTTAAATTTTCAGTCCTAATTCATGAAATAACACCATAGAATCGTGTTTTAGGTCCAAAAATCCTTACCTTATCAAAGCTCCTTGAAGTCCCTCTTCAAAATCGCTCACAATTCTCCCAGTCCGAAGTTAGAAATGAAAAACCCTTAAAAATTCGCGAAGAAGACCCATTTAAACATTCTGCCCAGACAAAACCGCATTTGCGGTTCAAAATCCGCTTCTGCGGTATTGCTTCTGCGGTTAATATTCCACATCTGCGGAACTTCATTAAGTCCCGCCTGGCCGCATCTGCGGTCCAATAGCCGCATCTGCGGCTCCGCAGGTGCGGCTCCCTATCCGAATCTGCGGTCCCAGCCTATCCTTGCCCTTTTCGCTTCTGCGACCTCCACCCCGCATCTGTGATACCGCACTTGCGGTTCCCAAGCCGCAGGTGCGAAAATACCAGAAACATTTGAAATCAGAAATTGCACAAGTCCAAAATTCTTCCCGTTAGCCATCCGAAATTACCCCGAGGCCCCCGGGACCTCAACCAAAAGCACCAACACATCCCAAAACATCATTCAAACTTGTTCCAATCCTCAAAACACCTCAAACAACACTAAAACCATCAAATTACATCGAATTCAAGCCTAAGTTCTTCTAAAACTTCCGAAACACGCTTTTGATAAAAAATAAAAAAAAAAAAAACCAACCAAACCACATCCAAATGACCTGAAATTTTGCAAACACATCCCAAATCACACAACGAAGCTGCAGCAACTCTCGGAATCCCATACCGACCCTCGGATCAAATTTCCACTTATCAACCGGAAATCGCCAAAATACTAACTTCGCCAATTCAAGCCTAATTCTACACCGGACCTCTAAAACCACTTCCGATCACATTCCTAAGTCACAAATCACCTCCCGAAGCTAAACGAACCATCGAAATTCACATCCGAACCCTCTAACTCATAAGTCAACGTCCGGTTGACTTTCCAACTTAAGCCTTCTAAAAAGAGACTAAGTGTCCCATTTCCTTGTCAAATCCGCTCCAACCACAAACCAATCAACTCGACCACATAAAACACGGATAACGAAGCATAAGGAAGCAGAAATGGGGGAAACGGAGCGGTAACTCATGAGACGACTGGTCGGGTCGTCACACGCTCGATAACCGCCCTATAATTATTAATCCCATACCAATCCGCCTGTTGTCTTATTGGATGGTTAGTGGATTATTCTATTTATAATCCGGTAACCATTAAACCGAACCGTTAAGTGTAATTATCCGCCCGATAAGCACCCCTAGTCTTGAGAAAATGTAACTGGTTCCTTATAATCTGGTTCTTGACAGTAAGTTTGTTAGATCATCAAAACATATTACAATGTACTTGTAACCTATCATGTTCCCCTTTAACACCAGGAATTGCTCATTTCGTTCCTCAAGCCATGTATATATCTCTATATCTGCAATTTCATTCACAAATTTTATTGAGAGAGAAGGTGAGAGAGAGAGAGTGATGAACAAAGAAGGAAAAATTGATGAGAGATGCAGTAGTGAATAGGGAAAGAGGAGAGGAGAGAAAAAAAATGGGCGTAACCGAATCCCCTAATTTAAGGCACTAATAAAGGATTATATAAAATTTATAAATAATTCTAATTAGGATGGGTAATATACAAAATTGGAAGAAATTCAAAAATAGCCAGATTTACAAGTGGTCGTTCAAAAATAGCCCAGTTTCAAAAGTAATCGAAATTTAGCTATTTTTCATGTAAAGATAAATCTGAGCGAAAACACTGTTCAAAACCCAGAAAATACGCCAGTATATTATGCTGGAGTTCCAACATAAGTATACTTGAACTCCAGCATATTATACTGGAGTTCCAGGATAAGTATGCTGGAACTCCAGCATAATATGATGGAGTTCCAGCATAAGTACACTAGAACTCCAGTATAATATACTGGAGTTCCAGCAAAGTATAATGGTCCAGTATAATATGCTGGAAGTTCATACACAAGTGCTCGAATCTCCAGTATATTATGTTGGAACTTTCCGTGTGTTGGAGTTCCAGCATAATATGCTGGAAGTTCATACACAGGTGCACCGAACTCCAGTATATTATGTTGGACCGGTCTCTGTTGCAGCAAAATAGTGGCTATTTTTCATTGACTTGGTAAACGCTGACTATTTTTGAATGACCAGTTCGAAAATTGGCTAGACCGTGCTATTTTAACTACAAAATTAGGACAATTTTGATAGATAAGTTTCAAATATTATTCAAACGCAATAGCGACTCAACTCATTTGTTTGACTTTTCTCTATATCTCTCTGTTAAGCCCATTGAGCCAATAATTCTACTCCAAGCCCACTTCTTTGTTCGTCGAGTCTAGTCTCTCTTTGCTCTAAAATCTAAATATAATCTTCAATTTGGCTCAATTTCTATTCTTAGCTTGTTGAGACTTGAGTATACTTGTCACGTACTGTTCGTGTAAGGATTTTCAAAGAAATGTATGACAGTTTTACACTGCTTCGAATAATGTCTTAGGATATAAAATTGAATATTTAATTTATTCAATGGTTGATCGGATTAAAAACCTAACTAAAAGGCAAACTAGCGGATTTGAATGTTCCTTTATCAGTATTTGAGCTCAAACTACAACCAAGAAAAGAAAAAAAATTCATCCCAGTGAATAAAAATTACAGAAAGGTGTTTGATAAAATGCTAGACTGAAGATAGGTAGCTAATAAATATATCACGGTAGAAGCTAACCAAAGAAGGCTACAAACAATATAAATGGGATAGCAACGCCATTTCCAAAGTATAAAAACAATAACGACAAAACAAAAACATAGAATGTGTTCCAAAGCTACAAAAACACACTAACTTAGCACTTAAAACCAAACCATTGACTCTTGTATCCCCATTTCACTCTGTCCCAAATTCTGCCTTCTCTCTCTCTCTCTCTATTCTGCCCTGTTTTTTTTGTTTTTTTTCCAATATAATTTTAAATTATATATACCGTGAGTAATTTATAAGAGAGACATATTCTAACTTGGACTAAGAATTCCACATAGTTGTGTAAACATGGAATTAGATGAATTCCGTTTAATGTTGGAGAATTCAAGTGTGGACTTGTGGACATTTATTGACACAGCCATTTCTGTAGCCATTCTTGATCATGAAAACGAGCTTCTCAGCCGAAGAGACGCCATTGTTGAGAAGCTCTATGCTCCGTTTTTGTGTAAGAATTGTAATTCTGCTGGCAATTGTGAAGATTTAGAGACCAAAATCATCAGAATCAAGAAGCTTTTGGAATACCCAAATCAGGTTTTTCTTTTTCTTTTAACTTTTATTTTTGGATTTTCATTTGTTTTTTGCTCAGTTTCAAGTCCTTGGAATTTCAGTCTGAGAATTGCTTGGTTGAACTGCTCCAAACTCTTGCTGAAATCGACATTAGTTTCAAGGTTCTTGAGGTAATCGAAGATGGTATTAATTAATTTGAACTAGCATTTTCTCTTAATTAATTATCTAAAAGTTTGTTTATTTTGAAGATAACAGATGTTGGAAGACATGTAAATAGACTGCGAAAGCATTCATCAAATGAAGTAAGAAGACTTGTTAAACTACTTATCAGGTTTCTTTTCTTCTTCTAATTAACACTATACTTTTTTCTTTTCTTTTCTTTTCCCTGTGAAGGCATAATAGGAGTAGTATTTTTCATGTAAATGTATTTAAGTGAAATATTGGGTAATTTTTACAGGAAATGGAAGGATATTGTTGATGAATGGGTGACACTGAATACACCAGCAGAAGAAACAGGTAGAGCTTCCTTTTCCTGCGGTAAAATTACGAGTCCTTAATGTTTAACCAAAAGTCACTTTATTTCGTTTTGTAATAATAAAGTCATTGAACTTTAACTATTGCACTTAGAAAGTAACTCAATTAGATTTTTCAAATTTTAGATTGTCAAATACCTATTTTATCCTCTAAATTATAAATATTTATCTTCTTTTTATTTATTTTTTAAACTTTTAGTATTAAAAAAAAAATTCAAAAATTTATTTACACAATTCTGAATGAAAGAAAATAAAGGCTGTAAAATATATATCCCATGCACGTAATATAAAAATAATTATATAAAAAAAGGTATTTTTATAATATACATTATATATTCTTAAAAATTACGCACAAAATTATTATGTTTCTACCAACTTTCCGACGACACAAAGTTATGTCACCGGAAAGCAAGGGGACTATCTGTATAGAGTAAAATATGCTACGTTAAGTCATGCATGAAATATATATATAATATAATTGAGCATAATTTTCAAGAATATATAATGTATATTATAAAAATACCTTTATTTAAATAATTATTTTTATATTACGTGCATGGAATATATATTTTACAACCTTTATTTTCTTTCATTCTGAATTGTGTAAATAAATCTTTGAATTTTTTTGTTAATACTAAAATTATTATTACTAACAAATTATTCAATTAATTTTTTTTAGTATGCTCATTATTTTGTTATTCCAACATTATATATGCTTAAATATTTTTTATTTTTTTAATTTATAAATAATATTTATTTATTCTATAGGTAAGTCCATAATGTAAATTAAAAAGGAAAAAATGATATTAAAAAGTTTATTAAATAAAAAGAAGATAAATGTTTATAACTTAGAGGGTAAAATAGGTATTTGGCAATCCAAATTTTGAAAAAAATCTAGTTGAATGACCTTCTAAGTGCAATAGGCATAGTTCAGTGACTTTGTTGTTACAAACGAAAGAAAACTGACTTTAGGAGATAATTTGAGATAGTTGAATGACCATTTGAGTAATGGACTCTTTGAAATATTCACAGATTTTGATTGTGGTCCTCCTAATATTTGGTTAAACACATTTAATTCTTAAACTAGCTATCTATATCTATATTCTTATAAAAGCATGAATGTAATATTGATTTATAAAAATATTCTTACAATATTAAGCATATAAATTACAATGAAAGGGCATAGCCGAAATTTTAGACGTTAGCTTTGTAACTGACCCAAGGTTTATCACTCTATTTTAAAAAAGGAGCTCTGAATTCTAGAATTAAACAAAAAAAAAGTTGTATGTGTTTCAAATATCGATCCCAGTTTGGCGTTTAATTGTAATGTGTGTCTCTAACTTCTTTTTTTTTTGAACGCAAAAACGGATATTGTATTAATAAACAAAATGTTACATAGACATAACATAGTCCCTCATGACATTACTGTTGTCTAAAGTGGCTAGACAATTACGAACAGTAGTAGGAAGAAACTTAATACAATTACATATTCCATGCTTGTTCTTATTTACTTCTGGCTCAACAAAAAGGGGTGGACATGCATGGTAAAAACACTTAGTAGAGGAGTTGTTTTTAACAACTTCCTTGGCTAATAGGTGTGCTACTTCATTTCCTTCTCTGAAGTTATGTCTCAGAGTTGGGAACTTCAGCTGGTGCATTAACAACCTGCAATCAAGAATAATGCTAGAAAGATAATGATTGTCTTCATATATGAGCTTGATGATTTCCGTAGAGTCTGTTTCAATTTCCATTTTGAAGAAATTCATCTCTCTTGCAATCTTCAAACCTTCCTGTAAAGCCATTAACTCAGCATGCGTAAAAGATGTTGCTTGGCCAGATTTATGAAATCTAACAATCCAGTCTCCATTGCTATTTCTGAATACTCCACCACCAGCTGCCATAGTGTTTTGTGAGTAAGCACCACCTATGTTTAATTTAACCGAACCAGTTAGTGGTTTATCCCACTTAATATCTTATGAATTTTGAAAGGGTTTTTTTTCGTAAAAAAATTAAATTCCCAGGCTTGGTGAATAACTTTTTGGGACTCAAGGTCAAGATCAAGATTGTTAAAATTGCTGTTATTTTTATTTTTCCAAATATTCCAGATGGAAAAAGAAAATATGGTCTCCCAACCTGTTGAATAGTTAGTATTCTTAATGAAAATCTCTTTTAGGCTCATAAGCCAATGAGTGTTATTATCAATCGTTTGAGTCGAAATGCCCATATTGTTCCAAAAGCGCTTAGTAGCTGGGCAGTGTAGAAAGATATGCTGGATATCTTCCACATTCTCCTTACAGATCGTGTAGGTTGCATCAATATTAATGCCAGTATGTGCTAATAAGGCTCGACAAGGAATACCATTATGCATGCATTGCCAAAGGAATAATTTGATTTCGTTAGGGTAGCGGAGGTCCCAAATCCAGCTAAATGAAATATTTGATGTGTAATTAGGAATTAAAAGCTTGTAGCAAGATTTTGTAGAAAATAAACCAATTGAATTTGGGTTCAAACTGATAATATCTTTATTAAGAGCTTTACTAGGTAAAGGTGTCGAAACAATCTTATTTATAATAGTGGAGGGAAACTTGAAAGAAATATTAGAGATATTCCACTCGTCCTTCTTAATAAGATTTTTAATGGAAAGATTTTGATCATCCTTACTAAGAGGGCCATATATGGAATTTCTAAGGGTATTTGAGTTGTAAATCCATTTTGAGGACCAGATATTAATTTTGGAGTTTGTACAAGGGTGCCATAATATACCTTCGTTGCACACTTTCCAGCCTTTAAGGATAGCCTTCCAAATGAAAGAGGTGTTAATAGTAGACTTTTTACAGGCATACTGTGATGACCAAAAGGTCATCTTGTATTTTAGAAGTCAAATCTGTGTTCCGAGACCTTAAAAATCTCCTTCTGTTCTACCTCGATTTGCGTGCACAGTCCGGGCGTATATCCAGAAAGCCCTTGTGTGAAAATTTGAGAAAAATGCTAAGTTTTGCTTCTAAAATGGAATTAAGTTAACTTTGGTCAACATTTTGGATAAACAGACGCGGACCCGTGTTCCCGAAGGTCCCGTAGGGTCCGTAGTAAAAGTTGGGACTCGGGCGTATGCCCGGAATCGAATTCCGAGGTCCCTAACCCGAGAAAAGAATTTTTAAAGAAAATTATTAGCTGGAAAATATAAAGACTCTTTGAAATAAAATGACACGTGTTCTTGATGGTATCGGGTCCGTATTTTGGTTCCGGAGCCCAGTATAGGTTTAATATAATATTTAAGTCGAACCTGTGAAATTGGGTAAGAATCGGAGTTGATTTGGTATAAATTGGACCTTCAGTTGAGAAAATAGAAATTTCAATGTTCTTGAAGAATTTCATGAATTTGAGGTTAAATTCGTAATTGTTGATGTTATTTTGATGATTTATTGCACAAGCAAGTCCGTATGATATTATTAGACTTGCGCCCATGTTTGATTTGGAGCCCCGTGGGCTCGGGTGAGTTTTGGATAGGCCACGGGGTGATTTGGACTTAGGAAATTGCAGCTGTGCATCTGGTATTTTTACCCAAGCCTCTGATCTCGCAATTGCAAGATCAGGCTTCGCAATTGCGAAGTGGTCAGGCTTGGGAAATGCGACCAAAGTGTCGCAATTGTGAAGCAAGCCTGGGCAGGCCCTCATCGCAAATGCGACCTCTGGGCTGGGAATTGCGAAGCCCCTTCATCGCAAATGCGACGTCCCCTTCGCAAATGAAAAGTCAGCAGGTTTTCAAAGGGTTCGCAATTGCGAATTGCTGGTCGCAATTGCGAATCCCTGGTCGCAATTGCAACATCTGCGACCTGTTAAGTGGGATTTTGACGGGATTTTTCTTTATTTTACAACTTTTTCAAAACCTAAACTCCTAAGGGTGATTTTTCAAGAGCAAGTTCTTCTCCAAATCATAAGTAAGTAATTTCTAACTCATTTTCTTCAATCTAATCCATCTTTTTACATAATTTCACTTCAAAATCTAGGGTTTTTCATGGAAAATTGGGTATTTTTGGGTAGAAGTTTGAATTTTTAAATTTTGGGGATTCGGACCTCAATTTGAGGTTCGATTTCAAAACTAATTGCATATTTGAGTTCGTGGGTAAATGAGTGATCGGGTTTTGGTTCGAACTTCGGGTTTTAACCAAGCGGGCTCAGGGTCGATTTTTGACTTTTTGGGAAAATCAATGGGAAATCTATTTTCATGCATTAGAATTGGTTTATTTAGTTTTGTCTAGATACAAGCGAATTGGAAGTGGAACCGAGAGGTAAAGCGATAATTGAGGCTTAATCTTGTCCGGGGAATCGAGGTAAGTGTTTGGCCTAACCTTAGCTTGAGGGAATAGGAGTTGTGGTCTTAATTTCTACGTGTTAGTGTTGAGTACAACGTATGGCGTGGTGACGAGTATCTATACGTTGGTGTCAAGCATGCCCGTGAGTCTTACACCATGATTGTTATGACTCTATTGTGTATTATCCATGCTTAAGTTGATGATTAAAGATGTTGAACATAATTCATGTTAAATCCTTGATAATTGACCATTGTTGAATATTTGGCTCAAGTTGGGATTTGTTTTGTGAAGTAACTGTTGGAACGAAATTGGTTATTGTTGTTTCCCTTGCCGGGATGTTATTGTTCATAATGTTGATTCCCTTGCCGGGAGGTTATTGTTTATATATTTTGATTTCCTTGCCGGGAGGTTATTGTTATATTATTGATTCCTTTGCCGGGATGTATTGTTTCTATTGTTTGAGTGAGGAAGAGTGTAAAGCACGAAGGGTGATGCCGTGCATGATATTGTGAGTGAGTGTTAAAGCGCGAAGGGTGATGCCGTGCCGATATTGTGAGTGTTAATGCACGAAGGGTGATGTCGTGCCATGTTTATGAGAGTTAAAGCACGAAGGGTGATGCCGTGCCAATATTGTGAGAGTTAATGCATAAAGGGTGATGCCGTGCCATGATTATGAGAGTTAATGCACGAAGGGTGATGCCGTGCACATATTACCGTTCCATTATTCTTGTTGGTATAGATATGATGTTCATTATGGTTCTTTATTGATGCTTCTTTATTGGTTTATTGTTAGAATCTGATATTCCCCGCAGCATGTCCCCTTCCCA